TTCCCTAAAACGTCATTGGAACTCATGCTAGTGCCTCAATTCAAATCTGACTTTGCAATATTGTGCAGTCACTTAAAACTCTTCCCATACAGGCTATATACACAGTAATAGATTTCTGAAATATGATTTCCCTTAAACATCATTGGAATTGAATTGCGTTCAAAGCTGACTTTGCAATATTTTGAGAGCAACGAGCTGCCTGAATTGCTTATTACTTATTTCCAAAAACAGACGAGTTGTTTTTTCTTATAGTAACTAACTAATTTGCAATTCTATATAGCTATCAAATAATTTTATGTTCTCGAACATGTCATGGAGTCCATTTTTTGAGCAAAGAATAAAATATTGTCAAAAAATAATACATATCCAATTGTTTTTAGCTGTAGTAATGAAAACAATGATATAAATGTAGCGTTAAAATTTTGTAACGCGCAAATAGTTAAATGGATATATAGCCACCGTAGCACACCATAACCCATAGCAAACAAAAATTATCAAAATCTACAACAAGCGCTACAATGCTTGTTTGCTCCTCCTATTTTAAAAATAAAGCCTAGTAAAGAATTTGACACATCTTTGTTGCCCAGCTATATAAAAACAAACGAAAAGAAAAATTTACCGCGGAATTTGCCAGAAGCAAATCAACAGTTACATCTCAACTAAATAGCTATGTAACTAGGCATTTCGACAATTTATTCTACCTGTAAATTCTTCCCATTTCATATTACTCACAAAACATGACAAATTGAAAACTCAGTAATGTTTACGTCAAAATATAATGTGCCGACGTAGGATCGTTTAATTGAGGGATATGATTAACAGTGTAAATATTAACTTTTTAAGCAAGTTGAGAGAAGGATAGGCCAGCCTGAGTACCATAGATATGATATTCAGCCTACGACAGGTTCAGGAGAAATGCACTGAACAGAACATGCCCCTCTATGCAGTTTTCATAGACTTTACTAAGGCCTTTGACACTGTCCCTAGAGGCGGCTTGTGGGCAGTACTGAAAAAGTTTGGCTGTACTGATAAGATTATCAATCTCGTGAAAGCGTTTCACGAAGGAATGCAAGCTAAAGTCACTCGTGGGAGCGACTGCTCTGAGGGATTCGCTGTCTCAACAGGTGTAAAGCAAGGGTGTGTGCTGGCTCCGACACTGTTCTCATTCTACCTGGCTGCCATGCTGGAGGTTGCCTTCGAGGACACAAGGGAAGGTATCTACATCCAGACTAGACATGATGGGAACCTATTCAACGCCTCACACTTCAAAGCTAAGACACGCACAGCACGTCAGCTTGTCAGAGATATGCTTTTTGCAAACGACTGTGCTCTGGTTGCTCACAGTGCAGCAGAGATGCAGGCATTGGTTGACAAATTTGCACAAGCTGCCGCTATGTTTAGCCTCAAGATAAACATCAAAAAGACTGAGTGCCTCTACCAGCCAGTAAAGCTTCTACTCCCTCCCCCAAAACCCTGTGCAATCACCATTGACGGACAGCCTCTTGTCCAGACCACAGACTTCAACTACCTGGGTAGTACAATCTCCAGCAATGCTAAGATTGAAAAGGAGCTGAGGAACAGAATGGGAAGGGCGAGTGCAGCGTTCAGTCAACTAAACGATCGGCTATGGCAAAATAAGCCTGTCTCGACCAGAGTTAAAGCCAAGGTCTATCAGGCGGTGGTGCTGACAACACTCCTTTATGGAGCAGAGGCATGGACAATCTACAGGCTTCAAGTGAAGAAACTGAGTGCGTATATGATGAGACAACTGCGGACATTCTGAAGATATCATGGCGGGACAAGATCGCAAATGCTAAGATTCTCCGTCTGACTGACCTGCCACACATGGCTGACATGCTGATTCAAAAGAATTTAAGATGGATTGGTCATGTCCATCGTATGGAGATCTCGTTTACCACGCCAGCTATTGTACAGCCAACTAGTAGAAGGAAACGAAACCAAGGCCGACCTCGACTCAGACTCAAAGATGTCATGAAACGAAATCTAAAGAGGAGAGACATCAACGTGACAACCTGGAAGCAATTGGCTGATAACAGACCGGCCTGGAGAGCTTCAATCCAACCATAGAACAGTCCTCGTCGCTTACGACTGACTGCATGATGATGATGATATAAAAACAAACGAAAAGAAAAATTTACCGCGGAATTTGCCAGAAGCAAATCAACAGTTACATCTCAACTAAATAGCTATGTAACTAGGCATTTCGACAATTTATTCTACCTGTAAATTCTTCCCATTTCATATTACTCACAAAACATGACAAATTGAAAACTCAGTAATGTTTACGTCAAAATATAATGTGCCGACGTAGGATCGTTTAATTGAGGGATATGATTAACAGTGTAAATATTAACTTTTTAAGCAAGTTGAGAGAAGGATAGGCCAGCCTGACCATAGTGCAGGATATGAGAGAATAATGAGAAAATAATGATGCTATGGGCCCACGCTTTCAGATTCTTCTTTATGATTTGAATTTTACAGTAACTTAAATAAGTGAAGCAAAAAATGGTTAAACAGTAAGAAATCTTAAGATTTTAAGTGCCAGTTTATAATTTAATAGCGACATAAAATACTTCAATATAAAACTGGTTGATTACAGAGTTTTGATGAGCCATCTTCAATGGTTCAGGGATGAATAAACATTGATTGTATAGTAAATAAGCAATTAAATGAGAGTACCTACATAACGGTTACATATGAAGGACATTCCGTTCAAATACAATCATAGTACTTATCAAAATATAGGATGTCTTTGAAGACTATTTTCCATCTCAATTGTGGTTAAAATCTTAAATTTTTGAGGTTTATAAAACAATGGTAATTAAATTAGAGAGTATAAAAAGACTTTTCAGAACTCATTATTTATAAAAGCGAAGCTAAGTTGTGAATTTTAAGAGAGACAATACACATGACATTGTACAAGATATCTTAGAGAAATCAGTTGTAAAAACAAAAGAAATGGGTGAGCAATGCATGTTCATTTATGATGGAGAAAATGCATCAATTTAGTCTTCAAAAACCTTATTTAATCAATTTCTTATAAATAAGACAGTTAAAGATACTTTCATTTGTGTTGACAAATTTGTTTGATGACATAAATCTACGATTAATGAATTTATTTTGTTAATAATATAATTGAGTGATTTACTGAAACACAATACACCATAACCCAACATCCCTTGTATTTTTTCACGATAAAATAAATGCTTCATAAAATGAGCAGTTCACGTGTGTAATAATGAGCATTAAACGATGAATTTTCTGAAAAACAATCTTTGTCTTCTTTAGGTGTCTTTATCATCTTTATATATACATGCATAATATGTGTGGTATTCATGAGCAAGAATGTGCATAGTGGAACAGAGAACAAGACTACTAACAATAAAACAGGTACAAAAACAAATAATGATTTGAATCATCATGAAAATGAGTTAACATTAATATTGATTTTCTATAATTATAGTCCTCAAGCAAGAAGTTGTCTCAATTTATAATGAAAACTTCACTGACATTCCCAAGGACAGGGAGCCATATTATGTTAAAGTTCAACGATGTGTCATGAAAAAAGATAACTTTCCTAAATGTGCAGTTTGTTGGCCCCAACCTATGACATTGACAGAAGTCGAGATTGTCGTTCCTGATTTAAAAAACTACACAAAATTTTACAAATATGTTGTATATAATCACACTTCTTGTTACCTGGAAAAGAACTTAACAGCCTTGAACTTCGATCAACATAAGAATCTATCTTCAAACGAAAGTAAGGACTTCTGTATTTAATTAAAATTTAAACTTAGATCTAAATTTGAAACGCCTTTCCTTTTGTGTTTACAGTTTACGACACAGAATTTACAACAAAAGTAAAATACAATCCACCAAACGTGAGAACATGTAATGACTATTGCAAGCATCCACAACCTCGTTTTCATCTGCACAGTGAATATACAAAGATTCTATTAAATTATCTCTTTATCCCATTCACTCATTGCTTGCCTGGTTGCAAAGCAACAGAGAAAATGAAGATTGTCAAAACAGAAATATTAGAAGGTTCAAAGCCGATTGAAGTCATTAAAGAACATATATCTTGCAGTCTCTGGAACAAAAAAGTCCAGGAGAGTACACTTTATAGTAGCAAACGCAGTGATCCGGGTAAAAAATTTTCAATTATGATTGAAAAATTTAACCAAAAAGCGTACTGTGTGTGTAAATAGATGTGCACAACTTTTGAGAAAAATTGCAAAATAATCATGTTTTACGATTTGTTTCATGATCTTATTTCCATAAAATTTCTCTACAGAAAGTCGACCCCTCGTGCTAAATAAAGGATTATTTGCTTACATCACATCACCTAAAATGATGCTAGTTGCCTTCATTCTTTTGACTGTCCTCATCTCAATACTTATTCTGGACTGTAATCTGTGTCATCGTAAGAAAGGAATAATGTATTCGATAAAGAGTTCTGGAAAGAATGAAGAGTGTAAAGACTGCGTAAGAAGATAGCAGACTATGATAGAAATGGTTTAAGTATCAGTAGTTTTTGTGTCACATTTCTGCTAAAAAGGAAGACATGAATGAATAAAGCATCTGAAACCAGGCCCATCGGAAGCTGTGTGGTTTGGGCAGGCTGCAACCTCCTTTGAGTAATTTTCAAAATTGTTGTGAAAATTTAACAAGCCCCAGCTTTTTTCCAAATCTTCTAGGAGAAAGTCACATACCGTAGAGTCTCGAAATAATAAACTGCCCGGGCTATTTCAATTTTAAAAAGGTGGCTAATTTAATGGTGCGGTTACTTTCAGTGGAAGGATATTTCGAGACTCTAAGATATTTGAATTTTCAGACCCCCCCCATTCTTACTTAGAGCTTCCGACGGCGGTGAAAACAAGAAATGGCTGAACATTGTGCTGTGCGACAAGATGAATGACGTACAAATCATGACACTCCACGCAACGCTATTAAAGCGTATGAATTGTTTTCAGCAGAAACTGTGATTGTAATATTCTAATAATTGGATAATATTCTAAAAGCTGTATAACATTTGCACTAATTTCTGCCAAGTCAACATTTATACTAGATATTTTAATTAAATTAAATTTTCTTTATTGATATTAAACTGGAATTCATGATTATTAGTGAATGTGATGAAAGTTGACGTGTTCTGAGAGCAGTAAAATGGGCAAGTTTAATTGTTGCATATTCTAGCAACTTTTTGCTCATCTTGTGGGCATCCACTGAAGAAGGTTTTTAAAAGCCTTTTTTCCTCGTAAACCAGAATATTAAGACCAAAGGAATGATCAAGTCAGTTGGCAGATCATCATTTCAAGAGCTTTCCTTTTCAGTGATAAGTTTATGGATTTGGCTGACTATTATATCAAAGAACGTCCAATTAGATTAGAAAAGTAAATTTAGTAAAGTCAAAAGAGCCAGTTGAAACTTTGGTTACCTTTCATGCATGAGAATGTGTTTATATAACCGCGTTTTCTTTTCTTTGATTGTGGACTAAATCAAGCATGAATAGACTATTTTAAGTACAAAGAGTAAATAGATAAAATCTTGGATAATAACTGAACCAAATGCAATAATGACCAAATCAATTCAAGTGTTTTAGGGAACAAACAACTTTTTATTTGCAAAGGTAGTGGCAAGAAAATCGTTATTTTTGTAGATAAACGTTTGTTACTTGCACCGCAATTAACGTAGCCGATATTCCGTCTTATGTCCAGCGTATCAGTGGCGTGCGTCACGAAGCCAGAGTAGGGCCCTGGGACCAATGGGAAAATACTGGCCCTTTATAAAAAATATTAGCTATTGCGCAACAGAAAATTATTTCATAAGAATCATAACTATCTTCTCCTTTCTCTTTTGAGTTATAAATATCATATTTTCCTTCATAAGTTATTTAATTATATGTTTAAAAGATAGTTATATTGAGTTTCATTGAAGCTGATTTAAATTTTATATAAATGGTTGGTCATTAAATAAATAGATCAGTAGCTAAATCATTGCTAATTTTATGCTGATTACCAAAGAATAACACGTGCAAAATGTTAATATGGCGGACGATTTTTAAATTCTTTGCAATTCAAAAATAAAGCAAAGGAATAGACCGTTTTCGCCATCAACGAATTGATAATAAATGACACACAAGAATGACGCCGAATCATCCAAAAAATTTAACTTTGTTGCATTTTTAAAACGTTGTATAAAGCGTTAAACTTACTTGACCTGTCTCGCATTGAAGGTCACAAAAGTCGTTTAACTGTCTCAATTTTGAAGAGCTAGACAGTATTTTGACTGAATTGATTAGTGATAAATGACTTACAAATGTATCTATAATTTGCCAATCACAACAAATGATAACCACAAGCAAGTTAAGAATTATTAATTATGTCGCGTATTATTCATTATTTGCATGTGTTATAGTAATCAATAAATTTTTCGTTGCTTCTTAAATGAATAGTCTACTGTGTAGTAAGCTGAAGTTTTTATATTGCGGGAGATTATATTTTAGGAATGAAAAAAAAAAAGTGAAAAGCACTTTCTAGCCAAAGTGAATTAAAAAAAATTAATGCCTGTTTTAATGCGAATTGCCGTCACTAAAATTTTACAATCGGGAACAACTGAATACATGAGTATCCTCCCCCTCCCCTCTCCAATTTACTGTTCTGTAGACGGTCCTGCTTTCACGTATTAAACTAGGGATCCAAGGATAGTGCAAAGTGTTGAGATATGCTCTCATATTCTTCCTGTAATTAGTAAATAATTAAGTCAAGTGTAACTAACTAAATGATTATTTTAAGAGATACTTATGTGCAATAATCACAATATTTTTTTATAGTTCCTAATAGCTTTCCGTTGATTGTAAATTAACCATACTTAGTAAAGAAACAAATATATCCATACTTAATATCTTGTATAAATAGAAGTAGTTTCACCATTATAAGATAGATCGTTGACCATAGACATTGACGTTAAACATTAAATGTGATCGAAATAGTTATCTGTGATCTCTCTATTGTTCGTGTAAGTCAATATATACTAAAGAAGGTAGATGGCTACATCACAAAACCTCACACAAAGTTTCTAAGAAAAAATGTTAGTAAACATGGCAAATAAAACTAGTTTTAAGAATGCGTAGTATCGCACCATGGCTTTTGAAAAAATGCTAAACTGACATTCATTTAGAGAAGTGCTTATCAAAGGCTAAGCAGTTTGTTTTTTGACGAATAGCTACAACTTGCTCCAAGATTGCGTAAATAAACGTTAATTTCGTATGCGCATTTACATACCGGACACATAATGAGGACATTTGGCACGCCACTATCATACATTCGTCATTCATGCATCACAACCTTTTATTATTACCATGCAGTATACAACTAATAAATTACAAAATCACTCTTGATTTCCTTTCTTTGTTTCGCTTGTGTTGTATTTTTTTTATTCTTCTGGCACATATAAGAAGTTCATGTGTTCAGAAGAGCAAAATGCTTTGTTTGCGATACTTTTAGCGCAAAATTCCACCTAATTAAATAACAAGGCAACGAGTAGTAAAATACAACGATGTTCGATAAATATTTACTTGGTACAATTTGCATCAGTTGATAAACAAGTCCAGTTTTCGGTAAGTTTGCGTGAATGAATATTCATTTCGTATTTGCATTTTCATTGGGATTACATGAAAGTCGACAAAGTCATACAGTCGTACTACATGACTTTCTTATATTGCTCAAAGCAATCTACAACTAATGCTTTCCTTTAAAAACAGTAATAGTGCTCTTTATTTCTTGTGAAATTCTCCTAACCGAGGAAGATGTGTGCGCAACTTTCAATTTTACTGTCGTATCACATACAAGTCGTATGTTTAAGACAAATTCACTAACTGACCAACACATAGTGTATGTGTGTAGATAGACCAGAAGTTCAGAGCAGGTTCCTAAATAAACTGCGCTAATACATAAACAGTTGCAAATACGGCAATACAGCAAATACCGATATTCTTCACATTCTTATAAACTCGAGCTTACAAAATCTTCAAAATAATTGTCAACAATGCCAGCATCAACGAAAAGCGTTATAGTTATACACACAATTCATTATGCAGTTTGCACAAAAATGGCGCAAGCGCATTTAGGTATTTCCTCTAAGAATTGGAGCTAATGAGGGTAAAACGGGGGGATACAATGTTATAACTCATCAAATTGGGACACAGGATGTACGGTTATATATATATAAACTGTTATATATAAATAAATTGTTAGTTTAGAATGAAACAATTAAATAAATGTCTTAGTTAATGTGAGTTGAAGTTGATGTTAAATTCTCTTCTAATAATCGCTGAAAAATTGATAATAAATCTCAAAAAATCATTTAACATAAAATGAGCGTTGTTGCTAGACACCTCCGTTGTTGCTAAACACCAACAACGTGTTTTCCCACAACCGTGGGAAAGTGTAAATTATATTTGTAATCTAACAAGGATGCTCATCTCTTCAGTATAAATGATGATATAAGCGGTATACCATATGAAACATGTATATTTTTTAAAATTGTCGTTTAAATGAACAATAATATTTCTACCTAATATGACAAACCCAGCAGAAACTCTTCCCATACAGGCTATATACACAGTTATGGTTTCTGAAATATGATTTCCTTACGTCATCATTGGAATTGAATTGCGTCAAACTGACTTTGCAATATTTTGAGAGCAATGAGCTGCCTGAATTACTTATTACTTATTTCCAAAAGCAGACGAGTTGTTTTTTGTTATAGTAACTAACTAATTTGCAATTCTATATAGCTATCAAATAATTTTATGTTCTCGAACAAGTCATGGAGTTCATCTTATGAACAAAGAATGCAATATTGTCAAAAAAAAAAATACATACCCAATCGTATTTAGCTGTAGTAATAAAAAAAAATGATATAAATGTAGCTTTAAAATTTTGTAACACGCAAATAGTTAAACGTAGCACACCATAACCCATGACAAACAAAAGTTATCAAAATCTAGAACAAGCGCTACAATGCGTGTTTGCTCTTCCTATTTTAAAAATATAGCCACGTAAAGAATTTGACACATCTTTGTTGCCCAGCTATATAAAAACAATCAAAAAGAAAAATTTAACGTGGAATTTGCCAGCAGCAAATCAACAAAACTCTCGACGAGCCCTTTCGAATGAGCTATTGAAAATCGCCATATCTCAAATATTTTCCGTGATAGGAACTGCGCATGCGCAAAGGTATTTGTGCGTATTGTAGTAACGATAACCGGTTTGTTTGCTGCAAGCATTTAAGAAATAGCTCAACTGATCAAGACTGTTATTAATTTAAGATATTCACAACTATTAAACAGTTTTGAATGTTGAGTTTTGATTAATCATCTTCGATGTCTCAAAGTAATTTTACACATTTTATGTAAAGTATATTTACCGTTTGTTACAATTACCACATAATTCTTATATGATTGCTAATTCGCCGTAGACGCAGGCGTTTACCAGCTTCTCGTCGTAAAACATGGACGAAGCGGTGGATTATGAGACGAGAAGCGCAAGGCGCATTTAATAACCTCATAGTCCACCGCTTCGTCCATGTTTTACGAAAAGAAGAAGTTCATATGAGATTTATTGAGCATGCGCTGTGATGATAACACAAAAGCAATTTGCTTCAAGACGCCGCACACGGACAAATCGACAAAGCATTTCGCCACGCGTGGCAAAAAATATCAAACATGTTTGATATTTGCCAGTTCTGCCTGGAAAGGCAAAAGTCGTCGGAAACACTACGCGCACATGAGAGCAACTTGCTCGCGCCACTTGACACGAATGACATTTTGCTAAGCACATAGCTCTCGTGTGCGCCGGGCTTAAAGAATTTGACACATCTTTGTTGCCCAGCTATATAAAAAACAAACGAAAAGAAAAATTTACCGCGGAATTTGCCAACAGCAAATCAACAATTACATCTCAATTAAATAGCCATGTAACTTGGCATTTCGACAATTCATTCTACCTGTAAATTCTTCCCATTTCATATTACTCACAAAACATGATAAATTGATAATTCAGTAATGTCTACGTAAAAATATAATGTGCCGACGTAGGATCGTTTAATTGAGAGATATGATTAACAATGTAAATATTTACTTTTTAAGCAAGTTGGGAG